CGTCCCCGCCCCGCGCGCGGCCTGGGCCCGGCTCCGCCCGCGCGACGCAGCTCCCCGAGTTCGAGGCCCCAGGCCTCCCCGCAGGCATCCAGGTGCAACCCGCGCGGGCTCCCGGGCGCGCTCGGCCTCGACCCCCTCACCTTGCAGTCGTTGCGCACGAACATCATGCCGTGGCCCGGGTAGATGGGCCCCGAACAGAAATAACACTTCTCGATCCGCATGCCGAGCCCGCGCGCACGCGCTCCCACCACACACTCGGGCTCGCCGGAAGTGACGGAGGCTCGCGGTCGGAAGCGAGTCTTCCCCACCCTCCGACTCCGGAGATGAAAGCGCTTGCGCGGCTCCGAATCCAACTGGTGCCCCCTGGCGGCCCGGCGGACTAACGCACCGGTGTGTTCCGCGCAGGCGCAGAACTGCAAACGAGCTCTGCTTCCCCCCTCCTCTCCCCCACCTGCTGTTGGCCAGCTACACCTGGCCCAGCCCTGCAGGAACGCGGGAGAACTTCTGAATTCTATCTCTGGTTTGTGTTTGGCCTCACAGGGCTTACCACACCTTGAGCTGTCTGTAAGAACTCCTTTCCCACAGTTGGCTCTGGACAAACCCATTCCAGTCCCAAACTGGGTTTGCCTGTGGGAAGGAAGCTGACAAACCTTAAGTGGCTGGAAACACACTGAGCCCTGAAGAGTGATGGGGCCGGGTCAGGGAGTGACAATCAGGTATTGATTGTCATTTTAGGTAAGGGTGATCAGTAAAGTCCTTCTGGACGGAGTGGCATTAGAACAGGATTTACAGGATGGGAAAGGGAGTCGTGAGAAGCATTCCAGACAAGGAACAGCAATGCAGGTGCTCCGAGGCTGGGACACACTGATTGACTGAAGCAGCAAACTAGGCCAGAATCCCCACCCCAGTCCATGGCTGATAATAGCAGTCATCAGTCTATATCCCTTTCCCAAGGTTCCTGGAACTGTCTCCCAGCTTTGCTGTCAACTCAGTCTTAATCAAGGAGCTTGAACTCAGGGCCTGGGCACTGTCCCTGAGCTCTTTTGCTCAAGGCTAACACTCTACCACCTTGAGTCATAGCTCCACTTCTGGTTTTCTGGTGATTCATTGGCAATAAGAGTCTCAGAGACTTTCCTGCAGGGGCTGGCTTTGAACTGCAATCCTCACATCTCAGCCTTCTGGGTAGCTAGGATTACAGGCATGAGCCACCAGTGCCAGGCAATCATTCTTGGTTTTTTTTGTTGTTGTTGTTTTTTGGGTCCGGTCATGGGGCCTGAACTCTGGGTCTGGGTGCTGTCCCTCAGCTCTTCAGCTCAAGGCTAGCCCTCTACCACAGCGCCACTTCTGGCTTTTTTTCTTTTTGCTTATGTGGTGCTGAGGAATGGAACCCTGGGCCTCATGCATGCAAGGCAAGCGCTCTACCACTGAGCCACCTTCCCAGCCCTCATTCTTGTTTTAACTGGGATTGCTAGTGTGTCAAGTCTCACAATAAAACGTTCTGAAATTGCTTTTTCCCCCACATGTTGTTCTGTCTGCCCCTCAGTGAGCATCTATAAATCTATATTCTTACACTGGGTGTCACCTTTAGCCTCAGTTCTCCTTTGACATTATTTTGGGGGATGAGAAGCTAAGTCATGTTGACACACAAGCTTGACAGACTGGATCACATTTTTTATTATTGCTTAATTGGCACAAGGTTTGCTAAAGAAACATTTTGCTATTACACAGGCTGGTAAGTAGAAAAATACACTGACACATAAAAATACAGGACTTTGGTATGAAACTTAAACAAAATTTTCAGTTAACTCATGATGGTTCTTGTGTGTATATGCTATACTATTATACATTTCATTGGGTGCTATGGTTAAAGGCAGTAGACTCTTGCAACCGAAAATCTGCAAACATAATCTTATTATTTTTATCTACATGAAGAGACCATATAAAAATGTGCTCTGATATGTTAACTGCAAAATTATGACCTATCTTCCCCAAAGTCTAAGGCAACTTGAAAGGCACTATGGTAAACTCAAGTCCCTATCCTTGAAATCGCTGCAATTCAAATGCATAGCTCCCAGTAACTTCTTTGGTATTTAAAAGAAGCTGTAGTCTCCAGAATAAAAATATGTAAAATCTTCTTAGTCATGAAGATTGTCTTAGCCAAGATTGAGTTAGAGGAATACTGGAAGAGCAGTGGTTAAAAACCATAAGAAGTATGCAATACAAAGCCATCTGAAAATCAGCCTGCAAAAAGGAATTCTTTTTCATCAGACTCGTATTTTTCCAATTACAGCTCTGTCAAATACTTGCTGCTACAAAATTCCTATTTTTATGTAAATGATAATGAGTGGTATTTCTTCTACTTTCTGGAAATTCTAATCTACTTGATTGAACCCACTTGAATAGATAAGAGTTTTATCTTACATGAAATACCTTAGAAGGTTATAAGAACTTCTATGAGGCATATTATAAAACCACCTTCAATTTGGTATGAAGACACTTTGACAACACAGTAGAATACACAATCATGGCAAGCTACAGTGAGCACAGGGAAGGCTACAGGCTACTGAACATTTCCATTTTCCTCATGTTGAACTAGAACACAAATGTGGCTTCTTAAATACAAACATCCATCTTCCACCAAGTGGCAAACATTCTGTGTAATTAAAAATTAATTCCTTCAATGTCACCGGTGGAAAAATAAAACAAATTAGAAATATGCACAATTCAAAGAGCCTGATGGTAAAGAGACAGAAGACTCAGAATTTCCATATTAGCTGAAACAAGCCTGAGGCTCCTGAGCCAACACTACAAAGACGAAGAAAAAGAGCAAAGTATTAACTCATCACCAATGCAGCATAAAAAGCAGCGATGCTCAGGTGTGGCTGGCACCCGTGGATCACAGTGAACCGCAGCCACAGCCTTCGGAACCCCTGCCCTGTGGTTGGTACTTTAGAGCATCACAAAGAGACAGAGACCCCATGTCACTTGCTCAAACTACATTAACCCACTCCTGCCTGCAGCCCCAATTCCCTTCCCACCTCCACCAACAAATTTCCACTAAGTCCCAGTGGGTTTATCCAGTCCAAAGACACAGCAGTAATCTGTTGATATCAAGTCAAAGGGAATGATAAGGATAATGCTGAAAGACATTGCTCTCATGTGCATACATACATTTTATCTTTTGTGCCAGTACTGGGACTTGACCAGCCTGGGTGCTGTCACTTAGCTTTTTCGCTCCAGGCTCCCTTGAGCCACAGCTCCACTTTAGCTTTATGGTGGTTAATTGGAGATTAAGAGTTTCTCAGAACCATGATCCTCAGATCTCAGCCTCCTGAGTAGCTAGGATGACAGGCGTGAGCCAGCAGAGCCTAGCTGGCAGGAGGGGATCTTAAAGCGATCTTCACCAAGGCTAGAACAAATGGATCTGAAAGCTGGATGCTGATTAGCAAGTCTAATGGACGTGGTGGGAAGCAGTGTGGCCCAGTGCCTGTCCATCTCCCGGGGCTGTGTGTGAAACACAGAGATGGCAGGTGTGGGCCATGGCTCACTGCGATGCTCTCTTGATGGTTCAGCAGCCACACATTCCCTTCTTCTCTTCCCCTAACTGATCGGCGGCTGTGTGGCCATTGGAGCGTACCACGCCCTCGGGGATCCAGGACTTGTCCACACAGCGCTCCATCCGCTTCATGATCAGATCCAGGAGCATCTCAATCGCTTGGCTTATGTTGGTCCCATTGGCAGCGCTGGTTTCAAAGTAGGGGATTCTGGAAGAGAGACGATCCACGTCACCAATGCACATGGGAAGGGCAGTAATGTCTGCGCTTGATCATTCCAAAAGAGTAGGCTCTGGCCTCGGGCTCTGGCGTGGCTTTTTCCACTCAAGGCTGGTGCTCTACCGCTCAAGCCACACCTCCATTTGGGCATTTTGCAGGTCAGTCTCATAGATTTGGCTGCCAGGGCTAGCTGTGAATCTCATCCTCAGATTTCAGCCTCTTGAGCCGAGGCTGCACCCCACTAGCTGTAGTCCTAGCTACTCAGGAGGCTGAGATCTAAGAATCCTAGGAAACCAGACCAGGCAGAAAAGTCCACAAGACTTTTTTTTTTTTTTTTTTGGTAGGTCGTGGGGCTTGAATTCAGGGCCTCGGTGCTGTCCTGGAGCTCTTTTGCTCAAAGCCACAGTGCCACTTCCATTTTTCTGGTGGTTAATGGGACATAAAGAGTCTCGTGGATTTTCCTGACCAGGCTGGCTTTGAACCGTGATCCTCAAATCTCAACCTCCTGAGTTGCTATGGTTTGCAAACACGAGCCACAGGTACCCGGCTTCCATCAGATTCTTATCACCAAAATAAGCTAGAAATGGAGCTGGAATTCAAATAGTAGAGTACTAGCCTTGAGTGAAAAAGCCAAGAGAAAACCTAAGGACCAGAGTTCAAGTCCCAGTACAAAAAAAAAAAAAGTGAGGGAGGAGTTTGTTTTTTTTTTTTCTGTGTGTGCTTCTCAGAGAAGAGTTTCCCTCATTCCCCTGTCTCATTGGTCAAAATTATATTACATACTGACAGCTAAACCAAATTCCAGCGAAAGGAATGGAGATCATCACTAGCTTACTTATCTGTCTTCAATAGTCCTCTTTTTTTCTTTTGTATGTGTGTGTGTGTGTGACAGAGAGAGAGAGGGAGAGAGAGAAGACAGACACACAGAGAGAGAGACAGACAGACAGAGACAGAGAGAGAGAGAGAGAGAGTCAGTCTATGTAGCTAAGCCTGCGCTTAGTGAGTCTCGATCTTCCTATGTAAGCCTCCTAAGTGCAGGGATCACAGTTGAATCTCACCACCCAGTAGAGTAGGAGCTCTTGAAATAGAACAGATGTATAAAGACAAGGAGAATTCTATACAGAATGGGGAGGGGAGGATGTGGACGTTGTCCTGGCAACCACAGAACCCATGTCCACCACAGGAAGCAGACCCAGTGGTTTTCTCAGAGAAGGCAGGAACAGTCTAGAAACCAGGAGGCATACAAAGGAAGCTTCAACTCTATGTTAGAAACTTTTTTTTTTTAATTGGCACATCTGAAGTGGTATACCGAGGGCAGTTTGGTTATATTCACTTAGGAAAAACTTCTTAAATGAGGCCTATAGCAAGGAAGGTCCAGAAGTTAAGAGGTCTAATTTTTACAAACATAAAAACAGGCTCTTCTGGGGCTGAGAAGGTGGCTCAGTGGTAGAGCGCTTGCCTTGCATGCCTGAGGCCCTGAGTTCAATTCCTCAGCACCACATAAGCAAAAAGAAAAAAGCTGGAAGTGGCGCTGTGACTCAAGTGGTAGAGCGCTAGCCTTGAGCTGAAGAGCTGAGGGACAGTGCCCAGGCCCAGAGTTCAGGCCCCACGACCGGACCCAAAAAACAACAACAAAAAAAAAAACAGGCTCTTCTTTTTTTGTGTTGTTGTTGGTCATGGGGCTTGAACTCTGGGCCTGGGCGCTGTCCCTCAGCTCTTCAGCTCAAGGCTAGCGCTCTACCACTTGAGCCACAACGCCATTTCCAGTTTTCTGGTGGTTTATTGGAGATAAGAGTCTCACAGACTTTCCTGCCCGGGCTGGCTTTGAACCAAGATCCTAACTCCTGAGGAGCTAGGATTTGTTTTTTTTTTTTTTTGTCGGTCGTGGGACTTGAACTCTGGGCCTGGGCGCTGTCCCTCAGCTCTTCAGCTGAAGGCTAGCACTCTACCACTTGAGCTACAGTGCCACTTCCGGTTTTCTAGTGGTTTATTAGAGATAGGAGTCTCACCGTCTTTCCTGCCCGGGCTGGCTTTGAACCAAGATCCTCAGATCTCAGCCTCCTGAGTAGCTAGGATTACAGGCGTGAGCCACCAGCGCCCGGCAGGAGCTACGATTATAGGCGTGAGCCACCAGCACCCAGCTCTTCCATTTTCTTATGCAAGTCCTCAAATAACTAGGAAGTATCTTCTCAGTGGAGAGTTAACAGAATCCTGATTTCTGTAACTATTAAACTGAAAGGAGATTTACCTGTACAGCACTTAGCACCAGATTGGCACACAAAAAGCACTTAACCAATGTTCATGCAATGGGATCCTTTCTTTCAAAAGCATTATAAATTACTAAAAGCTTGTTTTTTTGGGGGGAGGGTAACGCTAGTACTGGAGCTTGGACTCAGGGGCTTAGATACTGTCTCTTTGCTTTTTCACTCAAAGCTGATGCTCAATCACGTGAGCTACAGCTCCATTTCTGGCTTTTTTGCAGCTTAATTAGAGATAAAAGTCTCATGGACTTTCTGCCCAACCTGACTTTGAAATGAGACCTTCAGATCTCAGTCTTCTTCATAGCTAGAATTACAGGCATGAGCCACCAGTACCTGGTTCCAAAACTTTTTAGCCAAAAATTTTGTAATCTTAGCATAAATTGAAGAGGATCAACTGGTCCCCTATTTAATCACAGAAAATATGCTATTGCTCCCTCTGTCCACACGGGGGTGCTAATACTGCAACAGCACGTAGCAGTGCAGAGTATGAAAAATGCTATTTTGTGGCTCATCTAGAAGTTGTCGTAAATGCCTACTCAATGGTCATTTGGAGAGAATGGAGACAAAGAATTTGAATGAGCTGGGTGCTGGTGGCTCATGCCTCTAATCCAAAAAACTCAGGAAGCTGAGATCTGAGGATCACAGTTCAAAATTAGCCTGGGCAGCAAAATCCATGAGACTCTTTATCTCCAATAAACCACTAGAAAACCGGAAGTGGCGCTTGTGGCTCAAATAGTAGAGTGCTAGCCTTGAACTGAAGAGCTCAGGGACAGTGCCCTGGCCCAGAATTCAAGCCCCATGACACACGCACACACACACACACACACACACACACACACAGAATTTGAAAGTACTTTAAGAACAGGTTCATCAATCAATCTTAAATTTTAAAAAAATATGTAAAATGATGGCCTCAGAAAACCAAGAGGGTCACGTTGTGGTTTTTCACCACCATATCCGTATCTCACTCACATCATGGTTAGCAAAAATCCATACCCAGCTGGACTCTCTTCCAATCTGGATTCCCTCAAATCTAGACAATCCTAACCCCAGTTAAATCGGGGTGGGCACCAGGAAAGACCCCAAGCGTGGTTGATGGTTTTTGCCAAATGGCTCTGCGTTATCTGGCTCACACCTGAATGCAGAAGTTATGGAGGGAGTTCTCGCAAAAGGGAGCAGCAAATTGCTCCTTTTCATAGTCTGCTGGGTGCTGAGTGAACGGCGCTGACAGGCCATGTACAGGCTCATAGACACTTTGTCTGCACCTGGAAAATTATGACAAACCAGCTCTACACCCTCTACTAAGTAATATCGGCTCCGGTATAGTGAATTGTAGCTTAGTCGTGTGAGTTGAAACATTCCCAGCTGGGTATGGTGGTACATGACTATAATCCCAGCACTTGGAAGTCTGTGGCAAGAGGATCACAATTGGAGGACAATCTGGGCTATCCCCGCCGGGACAGAGGTAATGCCAGGGTCTTTGTGGACCCAGAGGCCCCCAGCAAATGACCAAAGGAGGGCGGCGTGGACAGAAGTCAACTCTAATTCGCCCCAGCACTGCTGATATGGCCCGCACGGTGTGTTGCTTCATTGCTGACTTCCGCCTCACCCCTTGCGACACAGTGCCCGGCTCTGTGACAGCCCCTCTGCCCTGGACCACAGAACCCCAGGGCCTCTCAAGTATAGCAGAAGCAGGGAAGTCGATGGGTCTCAGCCAAGGCCCGGGAACATCTTGCAGAGAGCTGGAGAGGCAGCCATACGCAGGCCTCCACTGGGAGCAAGCGTGGCTAGGCTCAGCATTAATCCCTGACATGTCCTTCCTGGCCAGGGGAGACCTGGGAGAGATTGGTGGATAGACGGGAAGCAAGACTCGGTTCCCCACTGGTGTTCATCTGCTGGCTCATTTTGGCATAAACCAGCACCCAGACCTGCACCTGCTCCACCCCGTTGCGTCTCCTCCACGGTCCCGCTCTTCAGCAATGTGTGGTTAGCTCTGTGGCAAAGAACCCTGGCTGTTTGCACATCACCCACACCATCAAGGTCAAAGCCACACACTGAAAGGGGTTTGGCCAACTAGGAGGAGTCCCAGGTGGTGTGTTGGGCTTTGGGTTCTTATTCAGACTCCTTGATAGGCCAGCTCGACCTTGAAAACTCAACCTCCTGCCTCCACCTCCCAAGTGCTGAAATTACAGGCATGCACCACCATGCCTGGCTGGTTCTGGCATTCTATATCCATCCCCCTCCCGTACACCCATCCTGCCTTCCTGATGGCGTGTGTGCTGGGGACTTGAAGTGTCAGCATTAGACACAAAGCCAACGCCTACAGAGGTGGTTAAACCAGTGCACACCACCGCACAATGTCAAACGCTGACACGACGGGTCTCGTACACACGTACTCATGGGACCGGGAAGCCACCAAGCATAGGTAGAAGCATGGAGCTGAGCCCCACAGAAGCTCTTGATCAGAGCTCGCCAGGTGCTGCTAACACGATTCAGCCCCCAGGGGTGGAAACCTCCACATCCTGTGAGTCAGAATCGAGAAAGACTGAAAACCCAGTTGGGCCCCCCCGTGCATTCTAATTTACCCCTCCTTTTCTTTTTTCCACTCATCCAGCCCTGGTCTATGTCACCATCAGTGTCACCTCCCTGTCTCTTACCTGCTCCTCTCCCCACTGCTCCCCACGGCTCTCAAAATGATCAGGACAAAGCTCCCCTAACACCCCTCCATTTTGCCAGACGTTCAGCGTTCAGCAATGTCGGGCCTGCAGGGCTCAAGTCTAATGGCAGCCTGTATTCAAAGCTGCCCAGAGTCTGGCCTCTCCTCAGCTCGCCTCGCCGTCCCCAGTGGGATCCTCTCATGAGGGCTACTGGGAAATTCACGCCATCTTCCTCTTTGCCCCCCCCCCCACAACCTTCCCAATCCTGCCTGCTGCCTCTTAGATTTTCCTTTTTCTTTTTTGTGTTAGTCCTTAGGCCTGAACTCAGGGCCCAGGCGCTGTCCCTGAGCCTTTTTGCTCTAGGCTAGCACTCTACCTCTTGAACCACAGCTCCACTTCTAGCCCTTTGGTGCTTTCGTGGGGGACTAAGTCTCATGCACTTTCCTGCCTGGGCTGACTTTGAACCTCAGCTCTCAGCCTCTTCAGTAGCTAGGATTACGGGTGTGGGCCACCAGCACCTGGCTTATCCTACTTATAATACTAAGGGTTTGAATGTACACTTGAGTTCTCATAGGACAGGAAGTCGAAATAAAGTAGAGCCTGAATTCCTTTGCCAGAGGAGCCCTGGATATGTGAATACCTCACCAGGTGGCAGTCTGCTCCCAGCTCCTGTACAACCCAGACTGCTATCACTATGATCCTAGCTCCAGAGCCAGGAGGGAAACTTAACCATCTCTCCCCTCCTCAAAACAGCTAAACAAAGGAGATCTTCACCTCCTCTTCAGTACCTGACCAGTGATATCCAGTAAGACCTTCTTATATGCTAGAACTCTCGTGTATGAACTGAGTGAAATTGCCTTACTGAACACAGGGGAGTTTCTCTCTTCTTTGCAACTCAGAAACCTCTCAGGCCGGGAATATGGCTCAGGGGTAGAGTGCTTGCCTAGCATGCATGAAGCCCTGGGTTCAATTCCTTAGTACTACATAAGCAGAAAAAACTGGAAGTGACACTGTGGCTCAAGTGTTAAGAGTGCTCACCTTGAGCAAAAGAAGCTCAGGGACAATACACAGGCCCTGAGTTCAAGCCCCAGGACTGGGAAGGAAGGAAGGAAGGAAGGAAGGAAGGAAGGAAGGAAGGAAGGAAAGGAGGGAGGGAGGGAGGAAGGGAGGAAGGAAAAGAAAAGAAACATCTCTCTACACATTAATATGCCTACATTCAAAGCTGTCTTTTTCCAAAAACCAGGAGATTGACAAAATGGGACTAAGACACTGTGATTCCCACTACCATATGATTTTAATATAAGAAGCAGGGATGTTGAGCAGGATACCCGTGACTCACGCTTGTAATCCAAGCTTCTTAGGAGGGGGAGATCTGAGGACTGAAGTTCAAAGCCAGCCCCAACAGGAAAAGCCTGTGAGATTCTTACATTCAGCTAGCAAAAAGCCAGATGTGGAGCTTAGGGAATCAAGTGGTACAGTGCCAGCCTTGAGCATAAAAAAACCTAAGAAACAGCACTCAGGCCCTGAGTTCAAGGCCTAGTAGGGGCACAACACAAACAAGCTAGCAAACGAATGGAAAAGTACATTGTGACACCTTCCAAGGCCTATAGGTGGGCGTTAGCATTCGTTTTTCACTTTGGGCTTTTTGAATGACTCACTCACGCGCTCGTGTTGATTCCACTGCAAGTCTTTCGATCCCACGGCAGAAATGCTCACCCGTATTTCTCTGCGAGGCTTCTCGCTTCTTCTTCTCTCACCACCCTCTGGTCTTCCAGATCGTTTTTATTTCCACATAACACTATATCTGGGTTCTCACAGTAGGCATGCATTTGCAGCTGGCCTAGGAAAGGGAAGATAGATTATTACAAGAAAATAATAGAGGAAGCACACAGTCGATAGCGAATACACTCAAACGTGATTTTAAACTATAAATGAATGTGCGGACATAATGCTTTCAAAGCATCAGTGATAGAATATGTAAGACTGCATGAATAGGAAGGTTTACAGACATACAAATGGGTAGGATAGTATTTTACAGGAATGTAAAACTAAGCTGGGCACTAGTGGCTCACGCTTGTAATTCTAGCCACTCAGAAGGCTGAGATCTGAGGGTCGCAGTTCAAAACCAGCCAGGGCAAGAAAGTCTGTGAGACTCTTTATCTCCAATGAACCACTAGAAAACCAGAAGGGGAGCCGTGGCTCAAAGTGGTAGAGTGCTGGCCTTGAGAATAAAAAGAGCCCAGGCCCCAAGTTCAAGCCCCACAGTGGACAAAAAATAAAATAAAACTACTCCTGTCCTAAACAAAATTCTCCAGTAAATACATCAGAGTTGTGGGACAGTGATCTCCTTCAAACAGCTTCCAACCTAAGTAGCCCTACGAGGGACTCTATTCCAGAGAGAGCTACCCAGAAGGCAGGGGTGCAGTGATACTTACTTATCCAGTTTCGGACATTGAGGAAACTTTGTTCATTCGTCAGATCAAAAAGGAGAAGAAAACCCATCGCATCCCTGAAGAATGCTGTTGTCAAGCTACGAAACCTAGGGACATAAAATCAAATGTGTCACCTGAGCCGTGGCCCCAGATGTCACATAGAGACAGAGCTGCCAGCCAGGCCCCAGCCCTGTTCCACCAATTCAGCACTAACAAACTCCATGATGCTCTTCCAAAGGGTGCAGGGCAGGTATTTAGCTCTTATGTAAGTGTCTGAGTTAACAGACCACGTGATCTGAAGAGCCAGCCTGCTGGAAAGGACTTGGAGAACTAGCTCGTGATCCTTTGGTGTCAGCCAGGAATTTCTTGTACAATTATGGGCCAAAAGCCAGGTTGCTTTCTGTACATGTTTTTGTCCTATGAAGTCTTGTAGGTGTGCGCTGGTCTTCTAGCTCAAGTCTCTATAGAAATCTCCTCTTTGATGACCATTGCCTTGGTTCTAAGGTGGGAATGCTATTAATTCATACCCTACTCTTTCCTGACACTCTGCCTTCCAAGACTTTGTTCCTGTGTCTCCTTCTGATAGTAACTTTCCTCTCATTTTGCCCGTATGGAAAGTCTGTAACCAATGGAGTGATGTCAGGGAAGAAAACATTGGTGTCAATTTGCCAGCTAATCAGAATACTAAGGGTTTTTGTTTATCTTTTCAAATATTTTAATGAAAAGCTGAGAGCCCAGCACCAGTGGCTCATACTTGTAATCCTAGCTACTCAAGAGGCTGAGATCTGAGGATTGTGGTTTGAAGGCAGCCCTGGCAGGCAAGTCCATGAGACTCTGATCTCCAACTAACCACCAGAAAGCTGGAAGTAGTGCTGTGGCTCAAAGTGGTAGAGCACTAGCCTTGAGCAAAGGACCTCAGGGACAGAACCCAGGTCCCAAGTTCAAGCCCCACAACCAACAAGGACAACAACAAAAAGGTCTTTTTTTCGGTGGGGGGGAGGGGAAATTGGTCATGGGGTTTGAACTCTGGGCCTGGGCACTGTCCCTCAGCTCTTCAGCTCAAGGCTCTACCACTTTAAGCCACAGCACCACTTCCAGTTTTCTGGTGGCTTATTGGAGATCAGAGTCTTACGGACTTTCCTGCCCAGGCTGGACTTGAACCTCGATCCTCAGATCTCAGCCTCTTGAGTAGCTAGGATTACAGGCGTGAGCCACCAGTGCCCGGCTTGTGCTTTTTACTTTTGTATATGCTTGAGGGTTTCCATATATGAAAAGTTTAGGGGAAAAAAAAAAACTTCAAGGACACTCTGAGAGGTAGCTAAAAGCAAGCTTGTGTCAAGACGTCACATGATTTCTCCTAGTCAAGTAACCTTTGACCACAGGCATCAATTCCAACCAGATTTTCAACTAGGTTTCAACAAGCAGGAAAGCTACATGAACATATGCAGCCATCTTAAAGTTAAATAAATAGCGAGAGATAATGGGAAGGGGGGTGGGGAAGAGAAGGGATGTGGACAGATCTAAAACAAAGAAGAGAAGGAGGAAAAGGGGAAGGGGGAGTCTGAAGGAAGGAAGCTTCAGTTTGAACAGGCTCCATTTCCCCCCCCCCCCCCCCTTTTTTGTCCCCCCCCCCCCCCCCGTGACCTTCTATGAAATAGAGCTGCTGTTATCACCGGCACTGATAACGGGGCAGCATATCTTATCCAGGGATAAATCCTGCAGGTGGCTGGCCTTTGCTGCTCAGGTCAGTGTGTGAGGAGTGGAGCTGTGGGGCTCTTGCTGTGTGTGAGCCGCACTCACCTCTCTTGCCCCGCCGTGTCCCATAACTGCAGGTGGATCCTCTGGCCTCTACCCACAGCGCCATCGGGCCCACTGGCTCTGTACACCTGCACGACAAAGGAAAGAGCAATCGACCTGGGACCTGTGAGACCCTCAAGCTCCTCCTCCCTTTCTCTTCAGTTTCCATCCCCAAGCGCCCCAAGAGAACCCGTCTGCAACGCAACCACATGTCTATTATTTGTATTTCATGTCATGTAATTATATGGGCGTAAGCCAGTCATTTGTAATAAAAATGTATAGACGTTATATACTCATATAAATATATCACAAGGCTAGGCGCCGGTGGTTCATGCCTGTAATCTCAGGATCGCAGTTCGACGCCAGACCAGGTAGGAAAGACTCTGTGAGACTCTTCTCTCCAATAAACTACTCAGAAAACCAGAAGTGGTACTGTAGCTCAAAGTGGTAGAGCACGGGCTGGGAAGGTGGCTCAGTGGTAGAGCGTTTGCCTTGTATGCATGAGGCCCTGGGTTCGATTCCTCAGCACCACATAAGCAAAAAGACAAAAGCCGGAAGTGGCGCTGTGGCTCAAGTGGTAGAGCGCTAGCCTTGAGCTGAAGAGCTGAGGGACAGCGCCCAGGCCCAGAGGTCAGGCCCCATGACCGGACCCAAAAAAAAAAAGAAAAAAAAAAGTGGTAGAGCACTAGCCTTGAGCAGAAGAGCTCAGGGACAGCACTTGGGCCCTAAGTTCAAACCCCATGACCAATAATAAATAAATAAATAAACAAATAATTGATACACACACACACACCACGCAGCTTGCTTTTCCCCAAAGTCCTCTCAGACCACTGCTTTCAGAACACATTGCCTTTCCCCTATCCACTCCTTTTTTATTCATTATTTTTATGTGGTACCAAGGAATCAAACCCAGGGCCTCATGCATGCTAAGCAAGCATTGTACCACTAAGCCACCTTCCCAGGCTCTATTTACTCTTTGGGCAATACTGGGATTGGAACTCAGGGCCTCATGCTGTAGCTTGATTGCCTAGCTGATGCTCTACCACTTGAGCCACATTTCCAAATGTTGACTTAATTGGGAATGGAGTCTCTCAGGGTTTTTGCTTGGCCTGGCCTCAAACATCAATCCTCCAGATCTTTGTCTATCGACCAGCCAGGATTCCAGGCATGCACCAATACCTACAAAGGAATTAAACAAGTGAACACAGAGTCCAAGATGATCTTTCCACTCAAGAGGATATAGAACTTAACTAGTCTCGGGGCTGGGAAGGTGGCTCAGTGGTAGAGTGCTCGCCTCGCATGCATGAGGCCCTGGGTTTGATTCCTCAGTATCACATAAACAGAAAAAGCCAGAAGTGGCACTGTGGCTCAAGTGGTAGAGCACTAGCCTTAAGTTGAAGAGCTGAGGGACAGTGCCCAGGCCTAGAGTTCAAGCTCCATGACCAACATAAAAAGAAAAAAGAAAAAAAGAACTTACCACTCTCTTTTCCCTGAAGTCGATGCCCACTGTGGTGATAAACTTGGAATTAAATTTGCCATCAGTGTATTGGTAAAGTACACTGGTCTTCCCTACTCCAGAGTCACCCAATGCTAAAAACTTGATGAGGTAATCGTAATCTCCATCGGACATAATGAAGAACTCAGTAGCTCACCTGAAAAACACAGATAAGCATGGATTTATTAAGGCATATCAGGAAATATTAATGAGGTTGCCAGGCTCAGAGGGCTCACCTATAATCCTAGCCACTCAGGAGGCTGAGATCCAAAGATCATGATCTGAAGGCATCCCAGGCAAGAAGAAGGGAGCCCGGGCAGGAAAGTCCATGAGACTCTTTATCTCCAATGACCCACAAAAGGCAGAAGGGGTGCTGTAGTTGGTAGTTCCAGTGATAGAGCACTAGCCTTGATTATAAAAGCTTGGGGACAGAGCCCAGGCCCAGAGCTCCAGGCCCAGGACTGGCAAATGAAAAATTCAAAGATCAGCTAATGGGAATTTTGATGTTAATACCTCTACATGTGTAGGCCCCGAGTTTCAGCCCCAGTACCTGAAAAACAACAACAACAACAAATTTGGTCTTCTTAATTATTACTCAAATCCTGAGTAATGTTTTTGAAGCCAAAGTGGGAAAAAAAATGCTCCGTGCTTCAAATATGGAAATCAAATCATGTAAATGTGTTCCCACTAGCTTGCAAGGAAACCGTGAGAACGTACTGGGTCAGCCTCAAAGCAAGAACAGCCAAACCCCATTCTGTGGGCACTGTCTCCAGCCTTGGGGTACTTTGAAGCCCCTGCGTGGGAACACTTGGTCTCCTGGAATAAGTACTCTCTAAGTCCCTCCAGTAGCGTCTAGGAAAAGTCAAGGTTGCCAGGCTTGGGACAGGTGAAAGGCCGGCTCACTCAGAGAGAGCACTTCCAGCTCTCCTCCTTACACAAATATTTTCTCAAAGTGCCCTCCACCCTTGCTCCATCCACTAACAACGGAAACCCAGCACGCCTACTTCCTCAACAAGCGCTGGGCGGGGTAACTGTCCAGTGAGAGGAAGCCAATGATCCTTGTTATTAAAAAAATAAGCCAGGGCGCGCTGGTGGCTAACGCCTGTAATCCTAGCTACTCAGGAGGCAGAGGACAGGTTTTTGTTTTGTTTTGTTGTTGGTCGTGGGGCTTGAACTCTGGGCCTGGGTGCTGTCCCTCAGCTCTTCAGCTCAAGGCTAGCACTCTACCACTGAGCCACCTTCCCAGTCCTGAGTGCTAGTCTTGAGCAAAAGAGCTCAAGGACAGTACCCAGGGCCTGAGTTCAAGCCCCATGATGGACAAAACAAACATGCAAACTTTTTCCTTGCTATTCAGGGAATAAGAGTGAAGAATATGCCAGGAGCTAAGAAGAAAGATCTCTTTCTCTTCCCTTTCTCTCCCCTTCTCCCCCTGTTTTTCTTTCTATCAAGTAAAGTGGAGCTGACCATGTTAGTGTCCTCACCGAGATGCTTTAAGGAAAATGATAATCCACAGAAAGCTTTGAGCATTGCTGGCTGTATATGCAAAACATTAAATCACTGAAGCATTATTTACAACACTGGATTTTTTTTGTGTGTGTATGTATGTATGCGCCTGTCCTGGGCCTGGGCGCTGTCCCTGCGCTCAAGGCTAGCACTCTACTACTGGAGCCCCAGCTTCACTTCCAGCTTTTTTGGCGGTTAACTGGAGATCAAAATCCCAGGGACCTTTCCTGCCAAGGCTGGCTGGGAACCTTGATCCTCAAATCTCAGCCTGCTGAGTAGCTAGGATTACATGCAATTTTAAGTAGATTCACTAAGTTCTTTACTAGCAAGGTATATACTTTTAAATCTTTTTTTATCCCTCAATAGCAAGGTTTGAGCTCAAGGTCTCACATTCACTTAGGTGCTTGCTCTACTGCTTAACCGACAGCGCCAGCCCAGCTTCTTAGTGGTTATTTTGGAAATAAGAGTCTCAGATTTGGGCTGGGAAGGTGGCTCAGTGGTAGAGTGCTTGCCTCGCATGCATGAGGCCCTGAGTTCAATTCCTCAGGACCACATAAGCATTTAGAAAAAGCTGGAAGTGGTGTTGTGGCTCAAGTGGTAGAGCGCCAGCCTTGAGCTGAAGAGCTGAGGGACAGCGCCCAGGCCCAGAGTTCAGGCCCCACAACCAGACCCCCCCCCTCTAAAAAAAAAGAAAAAAAAGAGTCTCAGGCTTTTCTGCCAAGGCTAGCCTTGAACCACGATCTTCTAGATCTCAGCCTTCCAAGTAGGTAGAATTACAGGTGTGAACCACCAGCACCCAGCTTAAATCTTTTTCTTAATATATCCAGGACATGAACCTTCAGGGGGGAAAAAAAAATTACAGTTAGAAATTCTATTTAGGTACAATTGTCTTTGTGCCTAAATTGAAAGATACTCTGGCATTCCTATCTACCAATGAGTTTCTTCCACATGCTTTCTCGGCAATTTGAGAGCAGGAAGTATTCATCAGTTCCATGCTCTGATTTTCAGAAAAGGGAAACTGAGGTCCCCAGAAGGCGATGAATGATCTGAAACCAACCAGCTGGATCAGAGGATGGGCGTGGGCTGGAACCCAAGTCTCCAAAATTCTAGTCCCGTCTCCTTTTCTCACATAGATTTGTTCTCAACATTCTTTCCTTCACAGGTTTAGTTGCTTTCATTCAGGAATCAAAAGTTTTCCACAGCTGTAGAAGTAAGTTGCTTTATGTCTAAAGTTCAGAGACGCTGGGGTGAAGGATCTGCACTTCTACTACTAAACTCCTTTCCTGAGCCAAGTGTGGTAGTATATGCCTGTAATCCCAACTCTCGGGAGATACAGGTAGGAGAATCCTGACTTCAAAGCAAAGCCGGGGTTACAATAACCCAGGATTACAAAGCAGCCTGGGTTACAAACCAAAACCACCTTCTACAACCAAAACCATCATCTAAAACCAAGATGACATCTCTTCCTTCTGCCACAGCCAGAAGAACTGTATAATAGGGAAGGAGAATGCTTGTCAATGACTCAAATGGCCTTTGTTTTCTTTTTAACTTATGGTCACTACTGACTCATTTATTCAAAAGATATTGGTTGCCAAGGCCGCTTTTAGGCTGAGCGTCCACAGGGATTTATGAAAAGCAAATTTACCGAAGCTGGGGTGCTGCAGAGTTCTAGTTAAGAGAAGTGGACCTCAAATATAGTTTCATACACACAGCACGGCAGGCATGGCGGGGCTGGGGAAGCTCTTGGGTCATTTGTCAACTATGAGTACCACAGTGGTACTCATAGACAGGAGTGTCTGTTTGATTTGCTGAGTAACTTCTCAAATATTGTGACCACAGCCCTATGGACTACAATCGCCAGTCAGTATGATAAAATGGCTGCCCACCACTAAGGCCTGCAAGGACTACCTGGTCCCAGGAAGTTCATAAAGGTGTGCGAGGTGTGAATGCATGCCTATTCATGGCTGCTTTGTGTGTGCACACAGAAAAGCATGGGACCTAGACTTAGCCAGGTTGTAAGAACCTGGATGCTATGAGCCTAGGCTACACCTGGTCATATGTCCCCAGCAGATCAGGGCTTCAACACTGACTTTGGGGTTTTTTATTAGGCCAGTCCTAAGACTTGAACTCAGGGCCTAGGCTCTGTCCCAGCTTTCTCTCTGGACACTGTCCCTTAGCTTTTGCACTCAAGGCTGGCACTCTACCACTTGAGCCACACCTCTCCTTTGAACTTTTTGCTGGTTCACTAGGCTGAGTTTCATAGCAAGACTCTGTCTCACAAAAAAAGTAGCTATAAATAATTTTGTCAATATAGAAACTCAATTCTTAATTTTAAAAAGAGTAAAAAAAAATACTATAACAACAAATGACCCTAGGATTCTTGCCGCTGCCATTAAGTATTAAAAAATTGAAAGTGGCGCTGTGGCTCAAATGGTAGAGCACTTGCCTTGAGCTGAAGAGCTGAGAGACAGCACCCAGGCCGAGTTCAAGTCCCATGACCAACAACAACAACAACAGAAGTATTAAAAAAAAAAAACTGTAGACAGCCAACTCTCCATCTCTCTGGTCCTCTCTCCACCGATATATTTACAGCATGAGTTCAACAGCTCCCAAATCCCATATTCTTTAATGGGTGATTCAAAGGGAAAGCAAAGGAACTTACCTACTGGACAAGACTGGCTTCCTCAGATACAGCTGTCACCGATCGCCAGGGCTTGGCCCTGTGTGGAATCTCAACACTATCTGTATTGATTGCCCAGAGGTAGGGTGAAATGGGCCATGCCCTGAGTTTACTTATGCAAAAGCACCCAGTGGCCTGCCACATCTCTAATGGCTTCCCTTCTCCTCTGTGTTGGAATGAGAGACTCCTGGAGGACACATACAGTCAGGTAAGGACAGGGGAGACTCAGGAACTTGTGCATGGGACAGTCCACGGAGCCACCGCAAATGCACGTGACACATGCCATCAGAGCCTGTCACTGACACATCACTGTGGGGATGATCTCAAGGTTGGGAGGCTGCTTGTCCGCCAGCAGGAAATGACAGGACAATGCCAGAAGGTTCAGAGCAGACCGGTGCCGGCCAGCAACCTACCCCGAGAGGCATGAGGATGTTACCACCGCCGCGCTGATCCATCAGATGGCAAACTTGTGTTAGCAATAAAACTGGTTCTTCAAAGGTACTCTCACTAGCTCTCCACCATATAAAACAAAGGAAGGTTATGACTCTTACCCATGGCCTGTGGGTCTAGACTAAAGCCCTGACAAGGACTCCACTGTATGTATGTGGAAAATCATCCGGGCACGTTGAACCTTGAACCACGTTCATTTGCCTTCGGCTTTGAGGGAAACATTTTTCTCTCTGCCTGAAGTCTAAGCTGCACAGCCGATGTGTAAAGTCTCCTGGCATTTTGGTCACTCGGCATCTCCTAAAGCTGTCAGCTCTCAGATCTCCTCAAGGTTCATCTTAGCTGGGAGGGAAAACTTATCACGTACAGGGTACCCCAGGTAAGCACTCCAAGAGAGGCTCCCTAAAGCAGGAAAGGATGGATTAGGCTTCTGGAAAGAGACTTGGGGACCCCATCATCCGGCCTCTCTTTTCTGATCTCAGAAAATGTGTCTCAACTCTCCAGTGAGGCTGACTATCTTCTCACCA